TGAATGAAGGAAGATGCTGCCTGACACCCTCATCTTCAAGTGCCTTGGCCTTTACTGTCCTGTTTGCAAATGGAGTAGAATCCTTGAACAGGCTTTAATGTAATTTTTAGAAATATTTATTTATTTATTTGGCTGCACTGGGTCTTAGTCTTGGCACACAGGATCTTTAGTTACGGCCTGTGAACTCTTAGTTGAGGCGTGTGTGAATTCTTTAGTTATGGCATATGGGATCTAGTTCCCCAACCAGAGATCAAACCCCAGGCCCCCCTGCATTGGGAACATGGAGTCTTAGCCACCGGACCACCAGGGAACTCCCCCCTTGAGCAGATTTAACGCTTAGAGGAGAGTTGGCCTTTAACTTCTTATAATACCTTATGTTTCATCCCCTATGTTGAACATAGGTAATGGAATGTATCCATAAGTATTCTGTACTAAATAACAAAATATAGTCAACAAAATGTGATATTGTGTTCATAGTTCAGGCCTAAGGATCATCATTATAAGCTTCTTTTGATTAATTTAGGTGAGTGAAAGTGAAGGTCACTCAGTTGTGTCCAACTCTTTGCGACCCCATGGACTATAGTCCATGGAATTCTCCAGGCCGGAATACTGGAGTAGGTAGCCTTTCCCTTCTCCAGGGGATCTTTACAACCCAGGTAGCCAACCCAGGTATCCTGCGTTGCAGGCAGATTCTTTACCAGCTGAGGCACCAGGGAAGCCCTTAGGTATGGAAGGCCATGCCAGATGCTGCTCGTCCTGCGGTGTGCTGCCCAGGTGGACTACTGCCTGGAGAGAGAAGTTCCTTGGTAGGGAGGTGAGGGACGAGGGCTTTGGACGCAACCTGAGCTCAGTATTTTGGGCACCTGAGGATGACAGCTTGCTAGGATGCAGGGTCTGGGTATGGGAATCACAAGCATGTCAGTTGAAACCCTGATTTGAGACCACCACTGGTGGCCTCTGTGCCCAGGGGAAGTGGGATGCATGGCTCCTTGGGAGTTGTTGCCAGTGGTCGACATACCCAAGGTGGTTTGGAGGGAGGAAGACCCCAGGTAACCTGGGAGGAGGCTGCACTGAGGCATGAGTGGTGAGAGTTGGGCGGTGGTGGATGTGCCAAGAACAGAGGCAAGATCCAGTGTCTTAGGTTGGAATTACTGCTTACTTCTTAAAAAACAAGCAGAAGCCTACAACAGTGTTATCACATCTAAAGAACAGAATCTTTAATATCAGATATCTAGTCAGTGTTCCTATTTGTAGCTGTTTCATGACAATATTGGAGAAGGCAATGGCACCCCACTCCAGTGCTCTCGCCTGGAAACGCCCATGGATGGAGGAGCCTGGTAGGCTGCAGCCCGTGGGGTCGCTAAGAGTCAGACACGACTGAGTGACTTCACTTTCACTCTTCACTTTCATGCATTGGAGAAGGAAATGGCAACCCACTCCAGTGTTCTGGCCTGGAGAATCCCAGGGACGGGGGAGCCTGGTGGGCTGCTGTCTACGGGGTTGCAGAGTTGGACACAACTGAAGTGACTTAGCAGCAGCAGCAGCATCATAATATAGGCATGTTTATGTTACAGTTGCAGAAGGCAGTGGCACCCCACTCCAGTACTCTTGCCTGGAAAATCCCATGGACGGAGGAGCCTGGTAGGCTGCAGTCCACGGGTCGCTAAGAATCAGGCACGACTGAGCGACTCCCTTTCACTTTTCACTTTCATGCACTAGAGAAGGAAATGGCAACCCACTCCAGTGTTCTTGCCTGGAGAATCCCAGGGACGGGGGAGCCTGGTGTGCTGCCATCTATGGGGTTGCACAGAGTCGGATACGACTGAAGCGACTTAGCAGCAGCAGCAGCGTATGTAACAGTTTGGCCGAATCAGGATCTAATAAGTCTCCACATGGTGATTACTTGATGTGTCTGTTAAACCTCTGTAGTGGTAGGCTGGTCCTCCATCTCTGTGTTTCCCTCCTTGCAAATTATGTGTTGAAGAAACTAGGTCATTTGTCTACAGAGTTTCCTGCAGTCTTGCTTTTTTGCTGAATAAAATCCAGTGGTGGTGGTTATTGTGTTCCTCTGCATTTCCTATAGATTGATAGTTGGATCTAGAGGTTTGACCAGATGTATTGTAAAATAAAGTTGGTATCATACTGCACTTATCAATTTTATATAGGGCCTTTTACTTAACATTATATCATGAACATTTTCCCATGCCATTAAGTATTTTTTCTATTTCATAACTTCATTTAAATGGTTTCCAACTAGAGAGATCTGTTCTATCGCTTCAGTTCAGTTGCTCAGTCCTGTCCGACTCTTTGCAACCCCATGGGCTGCAGCACGCTAGGCTTCCCTGTCCATCACCAACTCCCGGAGTTTGCTCAAACTCATGTCCATTGAGTCAGTGATGCCATCCAACCATCTCATCCTCTGTTGTCCCCTTCTCTTCCTGTTCTGTTCCTTCTGTTCATGGAAATATCTTAACCTCAGATTTGTGGAAGAAGAAAAGTAAATAATCATCAACAGTAACCGGGAACCCACAAATAGTAACAGCGGTTTAAACATTAGCTCAAAGAGTGTCAAATTTTGATTTAAGATGTTGAACTACAAACAATAAAAAGTATATATCTGTTTACACATGCTTTAGTCTGATCTGCATCCCGCTTTCCCTTTTAGTTTTGGATGTGAACTTGAACTTCTGTCACAGTGTAGGTCCTCATGAAGGGGTCTGCCTGAGGGTCTTGCTTTGTGACCCTTGTGACGTAGCAGCTCATTTAATGTCGCTTGAACAGAGAGACTGCGTGTCACCATGTCTTCATGGTGTCTCTGCAGACGTGGTATGTTAGTACCTGCGTGATTGCAAACAGCGGGTCACTTCTATTCGCTGAGCTGCTGAGGGTGTTCGTGGTGAGGATGCTGGGGCGTCTGCCTCCCAGAACCCTCAAGAGCAGCTGGCATGAGGACCCTCCACGTGGACTGTCTCCAGTTTCTCGGCTTCATTCTTCCCCCTTTTAACGTACAGAATTCTCCAGTCCAAACCGCAAAACGTGTGGCCAGAAGCAGTCATGCCAACTCTTGGAGAGGTATGGGTCTGTTTCTCTCTCCTGCTTTCTGATTTCCCCGGGAAGGAACTGACTGATCTCTTCTCTGGTCTGACCAGTGGTGATCAGAGGTGGGATAATGTAGAGGAAAATCCTGGATTCAACTTGCAAAGGTTCCGTGGTGACCAGTCCGCCGTGGCTGGAAGATGGGGCGTGTTGTACAAATGGCAGTTCACACACTCAGGCCTGTCTCCAGGTCACACATAAAACAGCATGATGCCCGCTGTGCTGCTCAGTCATCTTCCTTATTTGGATAAATGAGGGTCAACATCTAGTCTTTCTTTATTATGGTCTCATCATTTACAATAATCTTATATAAGCTGGGCAGATTCTGACACATGCATACACCCACGTCACCACCTCCCCAGTGCCTGACACGGCCCCGGAAAGTTCTCTCGTATCCTTTGCTGCGTTCTGTCCTTCCTCAACCTGGAAAGCAACCACTGTTCTGATTTTTATCTCAGAGACCAGTCTTCCTTGTCTCGAACTTCAAACAGGATGGAAACAGAGAGTGTCAGCACCTAGCATTAATGTATTCTAGCTCAAGGTTGTAAACATTAATTCAGTGCTGGCTGTGAGCCAGAATCTCGTTGCTGTTGAAATACAAGAGTGGCTGTGACAGAGCTGACAGTCAGGGCCACGGAGGGAGCTGGGACTCAAGGTGAAGGCAGGGCACGGCTGCGCAGGGCAGGGCGGCCAGTGTCCTGCTCGGAAGGGAAGGAGGCCCAGAGCTCCCCGGAGGCTTGGTGGTGTGCAGGAGGGGCACTCCTCATTGTTCTTCTGAGGGAAGAGCCAAAATACTGAACCTGGGCTGTTTTGGTCGTGTGTCCTTTGCCCACCTGTGGGCAGGACTTCCTCGCCTCCCATGTGTGCTCTGGTGAAAGGAGAGGCCCGGGGACTGGTGTGGAAGGGTTTCCTCCCGAGGCCGAGCTGGCCGGGAACTTCCGGTGAATGAGCGGCGGTGTGGGCTCCGCTCTGTATGCAGGTCTCTCCCAGTTCTCCAGAAACGTTTTCTTTCCGTTTACTTCAGCTACTCTTCATTCGGAGAAGGCAGTGGCACCCCACTCCAGTACTCTTGCCTGGAAAATCCCATGGACGGAGGAGCCTGGTAGGCTGCAGTCCATGGGGTCGCTAAGAGTCAGACACAACTGAGCGAGTTTCATGCATTGGAGAAGGAAATGGCATCCCACTCCAGTGTTCTTGCCTAAAGAATCCCAGGGACGGGGGAGCCTGGTGGGCTGCCGTCTGTGGGGTCGCATAGAGTCGGACACGACTGAAGTGACTTAGCAGCAGCAGCAGCAGCAGCCGCACTCTCTTCCTTTGGGTGAGATGGCCAAGACACCAAGTTTGCAGTTGGTTGGCAAGAGTCAGTAGTCCTCAGCGTTGTTTGTGTATCACTATATAATGAGCACTTTCCATGTTATTGATATTATTCAGAATCCTGACTCCTAGTTCTTGTATAACTTACCATGTATGGACATAACTGTAGGTAGTCAGTTGGGTTGTTTGGGTTGGCCAAAAAGTTCATTTGTTTGTAAGTAAAAATAAAAGACATATTTTTCATTTTCACCAAGAACTTTATTGTATAGTCGCTTAACCAAATGAACTTTATGGCCAGCCTGCAGGGAAGCCTGGGTTTGCTCCAGTCCATGGGGCGCAAAGAGTCAGATATGACTGAGCGACTGAATAGCAACAATAAATATATAGAGTATGTGTGTATGTGTAGACATGTACATACTAATATAATGTACCATGTACTGTGTGTGTGTATGTGTGTGTATTTGTCTAATTTGTCCAATTGATTAATGTTATAAGGTCAATGGGAAATAGTATTGAAAATAAGAAGTTTACTTGGGTGACAAAGAGGATAAATTTATTAACGACTACTCATTCTTTTCTTTTTTCTACAGGACTATCCGAGTATGGCTGAAAAGAGACAGCGGTCAGTACTGGCCCAGCATTTACCACACAATGGCCTGTGAGTAGCTGCACTGTTCCACCCTAGAAGAATGTCTTTGATGATTTAAATTTCAAAATGAGCTTGTTGGTTACCTAATACCTGCAGTATTCTGTGTTAAAATGCAGGAAAATTCCCCTTCTCTTGCAAAAAGGAAGCTGAGTCAACTGGTTTAACTGAATCACTTGAAAAAAACTTGGAGGAAAAAAAAGGAAGAGGAGAGCTGCCCACCGCCCCCGCCCCTTTTTCCTTTGTCTTCATCTTGCCAACTTATATTAGTAGTCATTTTCTACTTAGTAATAGCTGATACTGACACTAAAACAGGATTCTGAACACTCCTTTGCCTCATACCTGGCCTTTTGTGCTTTTTCATAAACTCTGGATACTGTTGAGAAGTTTGGTCCAAGGCACAAAACATACTAAATGGAGATTTTTTTTTTCCCAGTAGTCAAATATGTTCTAAAAATAAATCCAAAAGATAAAGCTTTTGCATTGAGATTTTAGAAGAGCCCTGAGATGTAGTGACATAAAATTGCAATTAAATCCTGCCCTTCCTGCCAATCTAAGCTTTGTCTCCTTCACTCCCACTTCTCCATCCTTTCTTGAAAAAAGGAGGCTGGGTACTACCCAGGTCCAAGCTGGAATCGAGTCCTGCCACCCCAGTGGCCACATGGAAGGCATCATAGCTGCTGTGTCCGGGTGGTTTTGGTCCTTAATGAGGAGATTTTCCTCAGTTAAGGTTTCGGTGTTCAGAGGCCCCCTTGGGAAAAGGCACATGGTTCTGGGGCAGGCTTGATGGTCTGTTACTGAAGACCATACGAAGTTCTCCAAAGAAGAGCGCCTGCCAGGGCCAAACTCTGTGGACACTGCGGCTCCGTGAAGAGTTACTGCAGGGACTGTGGGGTGTGTTACAAACGCAGAGTAGCCAGTTATTCAGCAGATTCTATTCAGTCAGCTTGAGTCACCCTTCCAAGCACTGCCTGTTTTGCTAGCACTTTCACATTTGCACATTTATTGCAGGGTACCTGCAGGATTTCGATCCTATAAACATTTCCACAGAGGATTAGTAGTTTATCAGAATTTTCCTTTGTCTTACCTTCCACTAACAGCTTGGGCAGGCCGGTCACCTTCTCTGTCTTGATAACCATTCAGTGAGAACGAAGCAGACTTTCTGGAGTACTGGTATAAAGCTAACTATTATAAAAGGACCCTTTTATGTAATTATAAAATAGTTATAAAAAGTATAACTTCACTGTATGTACATAGTGTGTTAAGACTACCTGAAACCCTAATCGTGGTCTCTTGTGCAGGCAGTAGTATCTTCTGTCCTGCATCTGCATTTATCTGTGTATGGGTCACCTTGGTTACTCAATGTGGGAACATGAAGTGGCCATTGTCTCAGTAAATGTCCTTACAGGCCCATTTAATAAATTTACTTTGGGATTTTGAGGAAGCGGGGCAGAAATAGATGGAGCACCCTCATCCACTGAGCCTACCTTTTACTCAACCGAAAAAAAAAAAGGGCTTCTCTTAGGTGAGTAACTCCTTACTTCCAATGGTTCAGTGATGGGTCCATAGCTGGAAATAGCCACAGCAACCCAGGGACCCGCTACCAGTGTTGGGAGATGGTTTGTCATCGTTGTGGACGGTCTTATTAATGCTGTTGGCTGTGATTCCTCCCTCCTCCCCCTTCCCTTACACTTCAGATTTTGGCCACAGCTCAGTCTCCTTGAGACCTCAGCTGTGGAGTTCTTTAGAACAAGGAGAGTCTAAGATGGATTTTTGTACTCATGTCCAGTATTTAGTACGGTGACCCCTTGGCTTGCATTTCCCCCCGATACTTAGTTCACTTTGTAACTGATTTCTCTCCTGGGACACCAGGGCTGAGCAGCAGCAGCACATACTCTTCCTGGGCTTTTGAGTCTTGGGCACATGGCTTTGCTTTCTCCATCACCATCCCTTGCTAGCTTGGCTTAACTGTATCCTGCGGAAGTAGCTCCCAGAACTCTGTGGCTGGAAGGACCAGGAAAAAACAGGACAGAACAGCCCTAGCATCTCTGCCGTGGGTGACTAACACCTTCGTGTTTGTATACATGCATGCAGCCTGTTGCTTCCAGATGGCTGGTTGTTACCTCCAGCTAGAGCAGTGTCTGCTGATGAAACTGCAGGAACACTGCCAGAAGGAAACAGAATGAACAAATGTTGAGAAATTTGCTTGTCTGTTTTAGGGTGATTTTTAAAATTAAATTCAAAACACAAGAAGAAGAGTGCCACGTTGCTTTAAAAACTACTGCAGATTTACCAGTTGACATTTTAGTGGTCATCCTCAGATTTAAACTGTTCGCTGTGATGCAACAGAGGTGATCAGTAAGCGAAACCTTAGAGTACCGCTGTTCGTGGACCAGTTATGAATCATAACAGTGCCTCACGTAACAGAAATAACTTTGAGAATCTGCTTTAGCTGAAGAAAAACCTGTCAGTTTCTGCTTCTGCTGTGTGCTCCTGCTCAGTCACGCCCGGGTCTTTGCAACCCCACGGACCATGAACTGTAGCCTGCGCGGCTCCTCTGTCCATGGGATTCTCCAGGCAAGAAGACTGGAGTGGGTGGCTGTCTCCCCCTCCAGGAGGTCTTCCCGACCCAGGGATCAAGCCTGTGTCTCTCATGTCTCCTACTTTGGCAGGTGGGTTCTTTACCACCAGCACCACCTGGAAAGCCCATCTACTATGTGTCTCATGCATTTTTCTTGGTGCTATTTTACCAAATCATCACAACAGCTATTATAAGAAAGATGATATTTTCATCATTTAGTAGACAAGGAAACTGAGGCCAGAGGTTGGAATTCCAGTCCATGTGCATCCGACTCCAGAACTGGGCTGCTCACCACAGTATGGGGTGGGTCCACAGACTTCTCCTACAAAGGACCAGACATAAATATTAGACTTTGTGGGCCAGACAGTCTCTGTGGCAGCTTCTCAACTCTGCCATTGCAGAATCAAAAGCAGTCATAAAGAATACATAGATGAATGAGCCTGGCTGTATTCCAGAAAACCCTTTGTTTATAAAACTAGAGTTTAAAAGCAAACGATTTTGTACTGCAGTGACCTTTTTAAAAGGTCTCTGATTTGAAAGATGTTTTGTGTTTTTCTTGTTTATAAAACTATGTTAGCATTCACATTAAAAAAAAAGATTATCTTTTTAAAAAAACTACATAACTAGAAACTTCCCTTCTAGGAAAAAAGTTAGAACATTTTTATATACTAAACAAATAAACCAGGAAGGCTTGCTTTTTTTTTTTTTTAATGTGAGAAGTCTCTAACCTTATAAAATTACTCAGCATGTTGTAATTTTTACACAAAGGAGAGATTTTACATATTCATGTGCAGTTTGTTATAGGATTGGGCGTAAAAAGAATTGAAAAGAAGCTTAAAACTAAAACAGTAAGATTCAGTAACAACTGAAAAGCAAGCAAAAATGATGACAGTGAATCTTTAAAATCATCAAAGGGATTTGTTTTGTTGAAGATAATTTTGTGTGTGATAATTAAAGAGCATTTTGTGTGACAATAGCATGTATCGTTGGGCTTCCCCAGTTGCTCAGGGGTAAAGAACCTGCCTGCCAATGCAGGAGATGCGGGTTTGATCCCTGGGTTGGGAGAAGGAGATGGCAACTCATTCCAGTATTCTTGGCTGGGAAATCCCATGGACAAAGGAGCCTGGTGGGCTACAGTCCAGGGGGGTTGCAAGAATTGGACACGACTTAGTGACTAAAACAAAGAAACATGTATCTTTGTGCTTATAATCCTTAAACAGGATCATTCTTTGTAGTTTGAAACATCAATATGGTGGATAAGGGTGTACAAACTTGTAGTCTATTCTGATTGTTACGTGTGTAGACAATTTTAGTATCTACATTTCAACGAGATAGTTCTTGGAATGCAGCTGAAATAATCTTTTTCTATAGTCTGATCACGCAGCTAACTATGTTTCTGCCTTTGAGTACAATCCAGCATTTCTTCCAGTGTTTTTCCTTTGGTGGAGAATATCCGCCATGGTAGTTAAAGACCTTTAAACTGTTTTCAAGTGGTAACTTCATTTATAGGATTTTTCTCTTCTACTTTTTTATAAGACGTTTTATTTCAAAGTAAGCTCGAGTTTGTTTGTTTGTTTCCTGGCATTCATTTCTTTCTGTGGTCAATTAAAATTCTTAAGGCTGAAGTGAACCCTAGTATTTCTTTTTCCAAGTGTTCGATTTTCTAAATCACTTTAATTTTGATTTTTAGCAGAAGGAAGTGATTTAAAGTTTCTCCTTTCTGAAACTCATTCTCTGGCGATGCATTTTGGAAGAAATATAGGTGGAACCTGGAAGGGTTGTGTCTGTGGGAAGAGTCAGGCTGTCCCAGTCACATGACGCTGCTTTGGACAAAGAAACAAACTGGGATTGTATGAGTCACTGCAAAATGGAACTTTTTTTGACCATTGGGGGAAAAAACAACAACAAATAATCCCAAAGTAGCCTCCCAGTCTGCTCACATGCCTTGGAACGGGAATTGTGGTACTGGACACCTCTCTTTGCACAGATGCCCGCTACTGTTTAGCCTGTGATGGGGAAGGGAGGAGGGGGAGGATGACCCACAGCTTGGGTGGCAGATCACCTTCTCTAAACACTGGTCCCCACACCTTTCCAGAAACAGGTAGGAATTTCAACCAGATGAAACTTCATGCTGACTTGCTTCACCCAAAGTCATAAAAGTACCTTGGAAGGTTATTAAAGCTAAAATTTGAAACTAAAACAGCAGAAAGAAGTTTAATAACATTTCTAAAAATAAAACATCTTTGCCCTCTTTTTTTTCTTTTTTAAACCTAAGTTGTATAGCTCTCTTTAATAACGTACCTTGAACAATGACTTAACGTGCTTAGCTCTCCTCGTAACATGGTCTTTGTCTTTCTGGCAGCTCCCTGCTCTGCTATGGCTTACCATCATGATAGCAGACGGATATTTGTGGGCCAGGATAATGGAGCCGTGATGGTAGGTAGCTTCCAGAACGTATTCATTGCATTGACCTCCCCATGTTCACTGTTGGACAGTTTAAATAAAGTTAACAAAGAATGCCCAGTTGTTTGGCATTAGGAAATGTTTCATTCAGTACAGATGGTAGACCCAAAAATGGATTAATTCTAGTTAATGCTAGAATTAACTAGCATTAATTAATAAACTCCAGATTTTTCTTGACTTATGATGAGGCTTTGTCCTGATAAACCCACTGTAAGCTGAAAATATCATAAGTTGAAAATACATTTAATATACCTAATTTACCGAATATCATAGCTTATCCTCACCCACTTTAAACATGCTCAGGACACTGACATTAGCCTATGAAGTCATCTAACACAAAACCTGTTTTATACTAAAGTATTGAGTATCTCATATAATTTATCGAATACCATACTGAAAGGGAAAGACAGAATGATTGTCTGAGTCCAGAATGGTTGTGTGTCGATTGTCCACCCTCAGGACGCTGAGGGGGGCTGTGGCTGCCCTTGTTCAGCATCACGAGAGAGGATTGCACGGCTTATCACCCGTCTGGGAAAAGATGAACATTCAAAACGCAAAGTACAGTTTCCACTGAATGTGTATTGCTTTTACACTATTGTCAAACTGGAAAACCCTAAGTTGAATCATCCTACGTCAGGGACCAGCTGTAGCTCCCTAGAGCTCTAATGACTGATGGCTGATTCTCGGCTAACCCGCAGCGCGCAGCCTTTGTGCACTGTCGTGAGCCCCATGGCAGCCCCCATCCCCGAGCCCGTGAAGCAGGAGACCGGGGCAAGGAGGACACGGGGGAGGTCACGCACACGCGCGTGTGTGTGTGTGTGTGTGCGACAGAGGGGGGAGAAGAAGAGCAAGACCAGGGACTAGTAATTCAGCCAGCAACTCGTGTGACTCTTGGAGGCAGTGCTTCTCAAACCATCTTTGGTGAGGAACCAGACATTTAAATTTTCAACTTATTAGAGATTGGTGTTTTTGTAAGTCTAATTGTACGTGTGTGTATGCATATATTTCATTAAGATGTAATTCATATACCATAAAATTCACCAGAGTGCGCCATTCACTGGTTTATAGTATAGCTAGAAGACTGAAAGTGAAAGTGGTCACTCAGTCGTGTCCAGCTTTGCGACCCCAGGGACTGTAGCCCGCCGGGCTCCTCTGTTCACGGGATCCCCCAGGCAAGAATACTGCAGTGGGCTGCCATTGCCTTCTCCATGGGATCTTCCCGACCCAGGGATTGAATTGGATCTCCCTCGTTGCAGGCAGATTTTTTACTGTCAGAGCCACAAGGTGTGTGTGCATATATTTCATTGAGATACACTTCATATACCATAAAATTCACCAGCTTAACGAGTGCGTTTCAGTGGTTTTATAGTATAGTTTCAAGATTATACAACCGTTAATAGTCTAGATTATTTTTATCAGTGCCTCCCACCCCCAAAAATAAATCAGTATCCTTTAGCAATCACTCTGCATTACCCCTTCCTTCAGTTCCTTGCAGTCAGTAATATACTTTCTGAGTTCATTCTAAACATTTTATGTAAATAGAATCATAAAATGTATACCCTTTTATATTTGGCTTCTTTCACTTAGCATCATATTTTCAAGGTTCATCTGTGTTGCAGCTTGAATTAATACTTCAGTGCTTTTTGTGGTGGAATAATATTCTGTTATATGCCACACTTTGTTTATCCATTCATTAGTTGATAGGTAGTTGGGTTATTTCTACCTTTTGGCTATTATGAATAGTGTTGCTATGAACAGTCACATAAGTGTGTGTGTGAACCCGAGTTTTCCATTTTATTGGGTGTACTCATCTAGGAATGGAATTGTGGGTCTTATGGTAACTCTGTGTTTAATTTTTTACAGAACTGCCAAACTGTTTTCCAAAGTTGCCATACCATTTTACATTTCCACTGGCAGTCTATAAAGATTCTGAATATTTACGTATTTACCAACACTTATTATTTTCTGGTTTTATTGCCTAATCAGTGTGAAGTGGTATCTATCTTATCTCATTTGTTGGCATATAATTGTTCATAGCAGCCTTTTTAGTCCTTCTTATTTCTGTAAGATTTAATAGTCCCCTTTTCATTCCTGAGTTTAGTAGTTTGAGTCATTTCTCTTTTTTTTTTTCACCACTCTTGCTACATGTTTGTCAATTTCGTTAGGTGGGGTTTTTTTTGTTTTTTTTTTTCTTTCAAAAAACCAGTTTTCATTCATTCTCTGTTGATTGTTTATTATTTTTCTATTCTCTGATAATGTGTTTCAGCTCTTATTTTTCCTTTGGTTTGCTTTGAGTTTAGTTTGTGGACTGATATTTTGAATATTACATTATTGAGTGAGAAAATTTGTAAGGATCCTTGGTGGCTCAGATGGTAATCTGCCTGCAATGCAGGAGACCCAGGTTTGACCCCTGGGTCGGGAAGATCCCCTGGAGAAGGGAATGGCACCCCACCCCAGCATTTTTGCCTGGAGAATTCTGTGGACAGAGACTACAGTCCATGGGGTCGCAAAGAGTTGGACACGACTGGATGACTTTCACTTTTAACTTTATCCGCTTGAATGTCATGATGATGTTAAATTGCTGGAAAGTTTTCTGAATACTTATTCCCTATTTTTCTGCTTCTTTAATCAGGACCAGTAGTCCACAGACCTCATTTTGAGTAGCACTGTTTTACGGAACTGGGAATGGTAGCAATAAGTAAGATTTAGCTAGTGGGGTTCCATCACAGGTCAAGTGAAGAATGCACAGACCGGCGCCTGGACTCACCTGGCTGGAGAGAGTGGCAGGGCCAGCCTGCAACTGTGCTAAGCCCTGGAGGGTGGTGAGGAGTTAACCAGGAGAGGAGGAGGACTTCCAGACACAGAGGACTGTATGAGCAAAGACAGAGGGGTTTGCAAGGTCAGAGTGTGTGCAGAGAACAAGAATGAAGCAGCTTGGCCGCATGAAACATGTAAGACTGAAGAGGTGGCTGGAGCAGGGCAGAGAGAGCCTTGCGTTCAGATTTTACTCAGCACTGGGCATCCTGCAGAATGCTAATTAAGAAGGAAGGAGACATGGGCCCTGCTCCCAGGGGTCTTTTGGACTAGTAAGAAGGACAGGTAATACACAAGTCAGCATCACATTGCAGGTTGTGTTGGGTGCGGTGCAGAAATGAACAGGAGTGGGAAGGAGAGGGTGCAGAGAGGTGTGTGGCCCCGAGCCCAGCAGGAAGGAGGGCTGCTCCAAGGCTGTGAGGTCCCGCCGAGGCCTGAAGGGCAGGCAGGAGACAGCCAGGCAGAGCAGGCTTTCTAGGAGTGAAGGCATGTGTGGAGGCGCGAGGCAGGAGGTGTCTGGGGGTCTGAGGACTTGCAGGACGTCCTCTTGGCTGGCTGGTGCTGAGTGACAGGGCAGCGCTAGGGTGATGGGCCAGGTGGGCTGAGGGCAGGTCATTCAAGGCCTTGTGGGTCTGGGTGAGGTTTTCAGTTTTGTAAACCCGTGGGAAGCTCTTCCACGGTTTTCAGCAGAAGAATGGTGTCATTTAATTTACTAAGATCCCCCTGGCCGCTCAGTGGAGCACGGATTGGAGGGCAACAAGAGTGGAGGTGGGAGGGAATTCCCTGGTGGTCCAGTGGTTAGTACTCAGCCTTTTCATTGCTAAGGGCCTGGGTTCTTCCTTCTCTGGTTAGGAAACCAAGGTCCTGCAAGTCATGCAGTGCAGCTAAAAAAAAAAACCAACCTACTCTCTAATACCATATACAAAAATAAACTCAAAATGGATCAAAGACCTAAATGCAAGTATAAGGCCAGACACTATAAAACTCTTAGAGGAAAACATAGGCAGAACATTCTTTGACATGAATTGCATTCACTATCTTTTGTGATCCACCTCCTAGAGTAAAGAAAATAAAAGCAAAAATAAACACTTGGGACCTAATTAAACTTAAAAGATTCTCAAAGCAAAGGAAACCATAAAACAAACAGACAGCCCACAGAATGGGAGAAATTTGCAAATGAAGCAACTGACAAGGGATTAATCTTCAAAATATCCAAACAGCTTGTGCAACCCTATGTTAAAAAAAAAAAACCAAAAACCCAATCAGAAAATGGCCAGAAGATCTAAATAGATATTACTGCAAAGAAGACATACAGATGGCCAAGAGGCACATGAAAAGATGCTCAACATCAATAATTATTAGAGAAATACATATCAAAACTACAATGAGATATCACATCACAATGGCCATTCAAAAAATCTGTGAACAATAAATGCTGAAAAGGGTGTAGAGAAAAGGGAACCCTTCTACAGTGTTAATGGGAATATAAATTGGTACAACCATTATGGAAAACAGTATGGCAGTTCATTAAAAAACTAAAAGTAGAACCACCATGTGATCTAGCAATCCCACTCCTGGGCATATATCCAGAGAAAACTCTAATTCGAAAAGATACATATACCCCAGTGTTCATTGCAAGACTGTATACAATAGAAGCAACCTAACTGTCCATTGAAAGATGAATGGATAAAGAAGATGGAATATTATTTAGCCATAAAAAGAATGAAATAATGCCATTTGCAGCAACATGGATGGACCTAGCGATTATCATACAAAGTCAAGTAAACCAGATGGAGAAAGACAAATATATGATGTCACTTACATGTACATAGTAAAACATGGTACAAATGAATCTATTTACAAGAGAGAAATAGAGTCACAGATGTAGAAAACAGATTTTGTTGTTAGCAGAGAGGGAGCTAGAGGGGAGAAATAAATTGAGACATTGGGATTGATAATATGCACACTTTTATATATAAAATAGGTAAATAATAATATACCGTATAGCACAGGCGAATCTACTCAATACTCTGTAGTGACCTATAATGGAAAGGAACTAAAAAGAGCGGATTATGTATGTGTGCCTGTTCAGCTGTGTTGTTAGCACAGACTAACAAGTTGCAAATCAGTTATATTGCCACAAAAATTTTAAAAATGGAGGCAGAAATATCAGTTGTTGTTGCTTTCTGGGTGAGAAGGTTGTGGCGGTGATGACGGACAGAAGCAGATGTCTTGAGCTGCAGCTACGGCAGGTCAGGTGCAGCGGTGGGGAGAGGAGCAAGTCATGTGACAGCTGGGTTTTTGGCTTGAGTGTCTGGTGGATGGTGCTGTCATTTGTTAGATGGCTTAGGGGTGTGTGGGGAGAGGGCGTTTAGAGTGAAAGGACAGTGAGGAATCCGTGGTACAGTTAAGATACCAGGGAGACACCATTCATGGGTGATGCGAAATGGGCCAAGGGGTGGGAGGAGCAGCCAGGACAGTGTGGTTGTGGTAGCCGGAGGAGCAGTAAGTTTCCGGTGGGGCAGAGAGAGGATGAGATCAAGACAGAAACATGACCTTGGGGATGGCAGTTAGCAGCTGGTGGTCACAGGGAGAGCTGTTTCCATGCAGTGGGCTGGTGCCCTGGGGTGCAGTGGATTGAAGGGTGACTGGGGTGAGGAGCTAGAAAGCCTGAGTGTCGAGAGTGGGCTGATCTATAGAGAGGGTTTTGGCTGGGATGGGGTGAGAGGGCAAAGAAAGTTTTAGCATTGTTAAGAGGGTTTTGTGTTCACTTGTTTTGCTTTTTAAATTAGAAGTCTTGAGTGTGTTTATGGCGGCCGGGGGGGGAGCTAGGCGCTCTGCATAAGAAGTTCACTGGACCATAGGCAGCGAGAACTGAGGGCGGGGTAGGGCTCTGCATGGTTGGAGGTTGATGCCCACCAGTTTCGGCTGCTGTAAATCCGTCGTGTGATAATAAATGCCAGTGGTCTCGTTTTTCTCCTGAAGATTTTTACCGGAATATGGTGATGTGCATACACATAATAAGAGGCCAGGAGTGCAGGCCTCAAATAGCATCTCCAGGAATGGCAGTGGCCATGGATTTATTTCTCTAGGGACCCTTCTTGTGGCTCCTGGTTCAAGGGTACTCGACTGCCATTATAGGATGGCATATAAAACCCTTACAGCTCTTCGGTGGAAAGGGGCGATGTAAGTCCAGTTTAGCATTAGTTAGTATTGACCTGTTGATTTCCCCCCATTGGAGATTGTGGTGGTGGTTTAGCTGCTAAGTCATGTCTGACTCTTGTGACCCCTTGGACTATAGCCTGCCAGTCGCCTCTGTCCATGGGATTCTCCAGGCAAGAATACTGGAGTGGGTTGCCATTTCTTTCTCCAGGGGATCTTGAACCTGGATCTCCTACATTGTGGGTGGATTCTTTACCGACTGAGCTATGAGTCCCAAGAGAGATTAGTATATCTAAAATGCCGATACATTTTTGTACTTTGTAGAACCAAGATGAAGCACAAGAAATCAGTATTTGTGGGTTTTTTTCATCCTGACCAATCAACAATTCATAATGTCCATATTATCTAGACAGTTAAGAGCTTACCAATTTAGCACTGATCAATAGAATTTTTAAGTAGTGCATTTTCTTTAGAGTTTTATCTTAGTCTTATGCCTGAGGCTCATCTTTTTCATTAAGAAGCACATACTTTTAATTTTTTCCTAGTTATAAAGTATTACACAGTCCATAAAAAACTTCGGAAGATAGAAAAGGAAAACCACCACAGTCTTTACATTTCTTTGTGTGTGTGTGTGTTAAATATATGTAATGTGCCCCTTCTGTTGCTTCAGATACCCAACGCCTTATTTTCACTGGTGCTGAGAACTCTGTTAGCAATGGGTCTTTGTATATCACTTTGCTTTGGATGTATCATCTCGAGAAACTTTTAGTGACACAAGAGAGCCAAGTTAGCAAGATGCCCCCTTTGCAGTTAGAGGGAGAGGGTGTGCAGAGCGCTCATTTGTGGAGGAAGAGTTAGACACACATTCTGTGGTGGTCAGCAGCGCGTCCTTTACTTGTCTGGTTCCAAAAGAAGTAGTGTCAGAAGGACAGGACCAGGAAGCAGTTTCCTACTGTTCTTATGGAGCCAATCTTCAGTCATAAGGCTGGTGATGGCCAGGTTCAGGTTTTATATCCTTTTGGAAGATAAGTTCCCATTGCTTTTAAAACTATAACTGTTCTCTTATTGCATGTTTTTACTTTTAGGAATTTCACGTTTCTGAAGATTTTAATAAGATGAACTTTATCAAGACCTACCCAGGTAATTATAATACACACACTCATTTGCACACATATACACGTAGATACACACAACAACAAGCTAGAACACCATGTCTTATGATCAAAATTAGGTTTTCACATTAACTTTTTTTTTTTCACATTAACTTTTTAAAAGGTTGGTTACCCCAGTTACATAAGAGGCTGTTACCTCTTCAGAGTTATTTACACATCCTTTTCCTGCTTATTAACATTTGAAATTTTATATACTGTCCCACTGGGTGCATGTGTCAGATTTAGTTTAATCATTCCTCTATTTTTAAAATGTGTACTGCTCCCATTGTTTGATAACACAAACTAAGATATATGATGGTATGTACATATGTATATGTGTTTACATATATCTGTGTGTATTTCATATATATATGTGTAAAAGTAATTTCATATATATATATGTGTGTGTGTCCTTGGTAGTTACTCACTCAGATCCTGTAACTCTGATTACTTTAAGATAGATTACTAAAAGTAGAATAACTGGGTCAAACCTTAAAATTTTTTTTTGATACTCTAGATTTATTTTGCAAAACTCTTTCCAGCAATAGTATAAATATTTTAATGAGTAGTGATTGAAAGTGCCTGTTCATTAAGTCTTCATTGCTCTTTTTAAATGCTTATTGCCAGTTTGATAGTCAAAATAGTTCTGTTTTTAAATTATTTAAACTTTATTTGATGTTGACCGTTTGTCATGTTTTATGAATTCATGACTTTGCCCACATTCCCAGGGGGTTGTAGTGTTTTCTGGTTAGTTTATAAGAAACAGTCCCTCTGTTTTTCTGAAGCAGCCTGTACAGCTGAGAATAAGGTCAGATGTGTCTCTGTCTAGCTTCTGACTTCATTCATCAAACTGGGCATTTATTAAACACCAGCTGTATGCAAGGCCCTGCTCCACATAAAGTAGAGTCACTGCTCTGGTATGGCTTAATATTGATCTGGAGATAAATATTCCAGAAGTTGCGTAATAGAATACCTTCCTCATTCTCAGCTATTACTTTGGAATGTGGAACTTTACAAATGCTTCATCTTAGAAATAATGAAAAGTTAATTTCAGAAAATTTCAGTTGCTGTTTTCACAATGCCAGTATTCTCTGAAGAGTCAAAGCACTAAAGGTACAGACAATAGAAAACAAACAAACCTGTTCTGTTAAGAAAAGACTACTGCTTTCCACATGAAACTCACTGATAGTTGTTTGATGGTTTTTTTATTTTAATCTGTCCTCTGATATATTATTTGAGTCCCTCTTGAGCATTATCCTTTTAACGATTGGTAGCTTCTGATGGTCTCCTCCCTTGTAGGGAGGCAGAGGGCAGGGCCTCGGAGAGCCTGCCTATTAGATCATGGGTTGGGGGTTGGGCAGATTCTCTGTCGCCTGTTCAGAGTACAGACTTTGTGGGGTGGGCCTGTCCAGCCTGTGAGTCTGCAGGCTGACAGGGTGGAGAAGGGGAGCCCCAGTTCCCACCCACTGAGACTGAATTGCCTGGGTCTTGTTTCTTCTCTGTTCCCACAGCTCATCAGAACCGGGTGACGGCGATCATCTTCAGCCTGGCCACCGAGTGGGTGATCAGCACTGGCCACGACAAGTGCGTCAGCTGGATGTGCACCCGCAGCGGGAACATGCTCGGGAGGCACTTCTTCTCTTCCTGGGCCTCGTGTCTGCAGTATCCTTCCCGGTCTCAGGAGCTAGCTCTGCATCTGATCCTAAATTGCTAATCGAGATCTAAAGGCTGAATGATTCCTACATATTTCACATAATATCGAAGGATTTCTGTCTCTCTTTTCTTGGGTATAAAATTGGTTTATTGGGACTTGGTGGTTAAAACTTGGCCTCCTAATGCAGAGGGTATGGGTTCAATCCCCGGTCGGGGAACTAAAATCCCTCATGCCTCTTGGCCAAAAAATCCAAAACAGAAAAACTATGGTAACATACTCAGTAAGGACTTTAAAAGTGGTCCACATTAAAACAAACAAACGAAATACTTTTGAAAACGGTTTATTAAAAGTGATAAGTGAATTGCTGGTCTCTGCTGGGGTGTGCTATAGGTGTTTTAATACAGAAATCTCAGAAAATCTAAACCTCGTTAATGCAGACCACTCCCTTCACTCCTTTGCTTTTTGAAGTGAAAGAAAAGACTTTTTGTTGTGTAAAGAGGGGAAAAAAGGAATGAATCTTCTAGTAGTGGGTTATTTGCAGACCTGGCAAGAGAATACAAGAATTTGTGACCCTGGAATTCATAAAAGGGCTACAAGGAGTTTTGTAGTTTTCTTGTGTGTGTTTGAGGAGGGTTCTTAATCCTTGTATGACTCTCGAAGGTACCTCTGGATCCCTCCAATGTTAAGAAATTGCAGCTCTGAAATTCTGCTGATCTGTTGGATTTGTTTCATGTAGAGCGCGCTCTTGCATCACGTGTGTATCTTAGTGCTGGCAAGGTCAAGGCTGTCAGCCGCAGGCAAACACCCCATGGTATTTTCTCTTTCCGTGTTGGACATCTGGTGTAGTGAAATTCTTTCTTCCATTGAGAGCCTTTATAAAAATGGTACAAATGAATGTACAGCATGAGATACTTAAAATAGTACCATACACTTTAGAATCAAACAAGGGAAGACTACTCAGATGTATCATGTGCTATATAAGCTTTTCTGTTATGTGTTAGGCTTTCGTATGGATTGATAGAAAATAGGACAGAATCACATCACTGTGGCCCAGCCTGTGGTCTTCCTTTTGATCCATGTTTTGAAATTAAAACAGTAATTACCTTATTGTGTGTAGACACCTGATTTGCCACAAACTGCTATGGCCGTAGAGTAACCGATTGTTAATAACAAGTTGTTACCAATAGTTAATGTATTTTTAAATTTTAAGTTTACCACCATCCCAAATGATTGCCTTTTGGATGGCTAAACTCTTCATAGCAATTTAAAGTAAACCATCCTCTTCACTTAAATCTAAATCATCTAGGCCCCCCAGAAGATGAGTTCACATCATTTGCTGTCAGTTTTACATTGTTTCCAGAGATAATTTCATAAAAAGCATTTTTCTTCAGTTCTTTTTGACTGTTTTCATTATTGAGTATTTTACCTTTTAAAACTTTAATATGATTACTTATTTTTATGTCTCTCTCTCTCTCTGTCAGCTCTTTTATCTTTTTTGTTGTCAATTCCTAGGATATCAGTTGAAATAATAACAGGTACTCAGTGAATGCTTGTTGAATGAATGAATATTAATTTTCCTGATAATTCTCACTTAAAGCATTTTTTTCTTTGATGTTTCCATGCTGTATGATTTTCAGTGGAGTGTTTCTTTTCTCAGTTTTAGTTTGTGCTTACCCTTTATAGAATGTACATTTTCTGCTTTTTAACTTTGAGACAGATTGTTTTATACATCCTTGACTGCTCCTCCACAGATATGACTTTGATACTCAATATGCGTTTGTCGGCGATTACTCTGGACAGATCACCCTGCTGAAACTTGAACAGAGCACCTGTTCAGTTATTACCACCCTTAAAGGACATGAAGGTAGGCTGTGTGATCACCACTGATTTTCACCTAATATGTGTGCATGCGTGCCTGCTCAGTCGCTTCAGTCGTGTCCGACTCTTTGCAACCCTATGGACTGTAGCTCTCGAGGCTCCTCTGTCCATGGGGATTCTCCAGGCAAGAAGACTGGAGTGGGTTGCCATGCCCTCCTCCAGGGGATCTTCTTGATGCAGGGATCGAGCCCAAGTCTCTTATGTCTCCTGCATTGGCAGGTGGTTTCTTTACCACTAGTGTCACCTGGGAAGCCCTTTTCACCTAATATGGGCATCCAGATCTAGTTTTCGGCTCTGGTTTCATGATTGATTAGCTCCCTAAGGTCTTGTCAGGTTTCAGTTTGACTGGCCAGATATGGGACTTCAGTCCCAGAAGATCTTAAAGAGTGAAAACTCAGTGAAGGCAAGGTATAGGGTTAGGTTTCATGTTGTTCAGATCCCTTCTAGATTTGTAATACTTGTGTGACATTACTTTCTGTTCTGTTTCCCTTTTTTAATTAAATTACTTTCAGAAGACCTTTTTAAAATTTCGTATAAATGGTAGGACCTTTGGAAGAAGGTTGTTGTTACTGTTTTAAATTTGTCACTTTCTAGGACATCGAACAGGACGCAGTAGGTCAGTCAGTACAGTTGGAAGACGTGTATGAGCTGGTTCGTTCTTTATTTGGGAAACGTCCACTGCGGAGGGACTGAGGGAAAAGAATGACTGGGCGGAATTCTATTATTTCTGTAGCATAGTGAGTTGGCAGGGTTTCGTGGAAAGGCTTTAAAGCTTAATTGACTGTATTTCATAACAGATTAGAAGCTTTGAGACCATCTGGTTCAGATTGAAGAATTAGGGGTTTGTTGAAGGAATTAATGATGGATTGATGTATGGAAATAGTGTTTTTAAGTATAGCAAATTTAAATGTCCTCTGTAGGTAATTTATTTAGATAAGTCTGGGTCTGTGACCTTGTAGAGGATAAGGGGGAGGGAAGGACAGTAAGTTTGAGTAGATAAATCTAAAGGCAGGAAAACACAGGCCCTCAGAAGCCACTTTCTGTTTATGACTCATGGTCTCATGATCCCAGGCTCTTAAGTGTTCTCTGGGTTGCTCAGGACAGAATGAGTTCTGATAACTGCTCAGCAGGGTTCATGTAGAAAGAGCTGGCTTGTCTACTGTTAGGCTCTAGCTGAAAAACATGGGTCATAAGATCAAACAGGGCTAGGGTTTCTGCAGAATTGATCCCTGAAGCCAGTTTTGCACAGTACTTCTTTTTTCCCTTTGGTTAAGCTTCTGTGAGAAACTAGTCTCTTGTGGTTTGCTTTTGAATATGGCTTTACCAGTTTTCTGTACACCCACTAAAAATACTGTTAGCTTGTGTGACTGGTTTAATAAGTTTATTACTTTTTTCTAGGCAAACAAATTAGTAGAACAATGAAGAGATCTGTTGAAAGAGAAATCTGTTAAAAGAAAAATTTTTCCCAAGGCTATCAAATTTAGTAAGTTTAGTCAGTACAGAATGTAAAACGTAGGATTTGGATTTTTACCTACATTTTCTGTCATAATCGTGTGGTACAATTTCACTTTTTTTTTTCTTTCTTCTAAGACGCTTAATTTCCTTAAACAGAGGCATCCTGGAGTAGGACACCCGCAAAGTCACAGAGACCTGGAATAATCCAGACTTTTATCTTAGAAAATCCCTGAAACCTTCATTGCCTTTGCTGTTTAGATACTGGTAGCGTTTTTTTTTTCCCTCCTTCAAAAGCTTTTTCTGAACTAACCCTCATGTACAGCTATTTTATCATTTTTTGGTATAGAGGAGGAAAATCTTTTCAACACCTTTGTGTTCAGAGTAGTCTGATGGACAACGACTGAAAAGCCTCATCTTGTAGCTTGGGTAGGGGCTGTGCGGTGTCTCCTCCGTGACTCATGATAAGTGTTAGACTCCCTTTTGTACGACGAAGGTGCGTTTTTACATCCAGACTCGCTGGTCCTGGTTCAGCCTCTGTTGTCAGTTGTGCGTGTGCCGGCGTAGAGTTCCAGCTAACCTCCCTCTCTCACCCCTAGGGAGCATCGCCTGCCTCTGGTGGGACCCTGTTCAACGGTTACTCTTCTCAGGAGCGTCCGACAACAGCATCATCATGTGGGACATCGGGGGCAGGAAGGGCCGCACGCTCCTGCTCCAGGGCCACCAGTGCGTGACTTGGGGGAGGGTGGGGAGTGGGTCCACGCTGGGGAGAGGCGGGGGAGGCGTGAGTACTCTGAGACCCCTGTCTCCAAATCGCATCCTTTCAGCTGTCCACGTGATCGGGCTCTCTTCTACCTTTCTCTGCCAAGGAGTCACCCCAGTGAAATGTCTGCTTCAGGCAGACGTGGGTTAGAAACCATGGGTGGGGACTTTGACCTTGGAAGATGGCCTGCAGTATGACACTCAAGCCAGTCTCATTAGCGAATTTCATTAAGGAATAATGTCTGGATTGACCCAGTCCTGCTTCGCCTAAGCTATGGCATTTTAATGCTCAGGTTTTTGCCATCTAGTCTTGAAGAGGAACCCTTTCCTCCTCGTTGGGTAGGCTTGTCTGTTGCTTGGCTACGAGCAGAGTCAAGTTGAAAAGCAGCCAAGGAGAGGAAAGCTTCTCCCCCAAATCTACAAGTCAGGAGGTTGTTTCCTGGGGCGTCCAGAGGAGGAGGCAGACAAGCATGCAGGAGCAGGGCAGATTCCCTTACCCTGAAAGAGTGTGTATGTGTGTGTGTGCGCGTGTGTGCCTGCACGCATGTGTGCACACCAGCAATCTCCATTGTGTTCAATTGCTTGTTCTTATGGATTATGTATGTAAGGGAGTTACACCTCCTTTAAGAGGTGAACACCTCTTAAGTTTTGAACACCTACTTGTTCAGAAACAATCTTGTGCACCTGGAAAGAAATTATAGTGGTTGGTCCAGAAAACTATGGTCACCATCCCATCTCTGCCCTGCAGTTCTTAATGACGGATTTGAAAGTAGTAGCGTTTATTTCACAGTAACTATTTTTCTGTATAATACATTATAGAATGCCTGGTAAAGTATATACAGGGATCCAGATGACCATACCAAATAGTCAGTGATAAAATGCAGATTCCAGCGAGGGGAGACGTTGAGCCCGTGTGAAGACAGTGCGTGGGGACCGGTTTGAGACAGTGACTGCTGTGTGTTTGCAGTGACAAGGTGCAGGCCCTGTGCTACCTTCAGCTCACGCGGCAGCTGGTCTCCTGTTCCTCGGATGGTGGAATTGCAGTGTGGAACATGGACGTTAGCAGAGAAGAGGTAAGAGAGAGCGAGGCAGGGTTGACCCGGGGAGGTCCCGCAATCCGCCTCTTGGTTTTCCACCCTTTGGCTGGAGATGCAGGCAGTCCCAGCCCCTCACCGCTGTGCTTACTGGTTGTTGTCCAGCGAGGTCCTGCATATCAGTCACTGTGTCCCCCACTCACTGGAGTGTTTCCATAGGGACACGCAGTACACACATGGGGCATTTGGGCTGATTTTCACGGGGAAGTTCATGGAGAGGATGCTGGAGACAGTCCAGCCCATCCAGGGAGTGGATTGCAGACAGGAGCTCCAAGGTGCTGCTCCACACCAGTCATGGGATCCCCGAGACACTCACCAGAGACATAGCTCATCTGGGAAAGTATTTCCCCAGTCTCTGTTTTTATTTTCCACGAGTTCTGTCTCACTGAGTCCGTGTCACTCTGGTGTTCTTTTCAGGAGACCTGAGTTTAAGTGCCTTAATTTCCTCGTCTCCGTTCCTTCTTCCATCAAGTGAAATAATTGAATGAGATGACTTCTCAGCTCTCTTCCAGTTATTTAGACAGACACTATAAACAATCTCTTTTTTTTCTATTTTAAATAATGCTGCAGTGAACATTTTTGACCTTGTCATTGTGTGATTGTTCAATTATTTATTTCAGACAAAATCCTGAAAATAGACCCTTAGGGTCAAGGGTATGTACATTCTTAAGGCTTTTTATAGATGTTGTCAGATGATTTCCAGGCAGGATTTCCATTCTCATCTTTACCAGCATAGGTATTATCTGCCTTTTCCAAGTGATGTCTACAACCTGTGATGTAGAGAGTGGCGTTGATTCCAAAGAAGATTCTTTTGTGAGGGGGGTTAGGGACTTATGGTTTAACTTCAGAAGCATTTCTTGATTACCTAAATGGTGGCCCTAAAGTCTGGAGACTTAGGCACATATATCTCGTAAATGATAGTGTATTGTGGTACATATTGTGACAGGGCTTCCCAGGTGGCTCAGTGGTAAAGAATCCGCCTGCCAATGCAGGAGACAGAAGATCCCCTGGAGAAGGAAGTGGCAACCCACTCCAGTATTCTTGCCTGGAAGATCCCATGGACAGAGGAGCCTGGAGGGCTACAGTCTATGGGATTGCACAATTGAGCAGCTAGTCAAAAACAACACATACTGTGATGTTATGTGATATGTTCCAAGTGCTGTCCTTTACACAGCATGAAGGTCAGCTTGCTGCCCATGGCAGCGGATGCCAGGCGTGAACGCAGCGTTCCCCACAAGCCCTGCACAAGCTGCTTTGTGTCACCTCTGATTGCTCGCGAGTCTGATTCTCCCTGAATACAGTTGATCTTTAGCATCCCCTCGGGGACATAATCAGAAGGGTTCAGTCTATTAAAAAACAAAAAACAAAACCCAGTGACATTACTTTACAGATATTACACTTCCAGACTTTATGATTACTGTGCTCTATACATAAAGATTCTTGCCTGCCAGAAACTTGCAATCCCATGAAGGAAATAGATTACCCTATAAATAATAAAATTTCGTTCGTAATCTGGAGAAGTCCTGATGGCTAGTTTTTTACTGACCTTGTAAAACAAGTCAAGTAGAGGAAATCTTGATGGCATGTCTGCTGGTCAATTTCTCTGTTTGAATTTTATAGAAAGCGTTTTGGTAAGGCTTAGAATAACTTGTTATTAAACATATGTAAAATTGACTCAGAATTGCAGAATGTGTAATGCTGCCTTTGCAAAGGTTTATCTGAACTGGGTTATGTATTTGTCATCTTCTAGCTTGATGCAACATCAGCGGCTAGTGTACCACGCTGTTTCCTCAGTTCAGTTCAGTCACTCAGTCGTTTCCTACTCTTTGCAGCCCCATGCACTGCAGTACGCCAGGCTGTTTCCTAGACTTGTTGCTCTTCAGTCTAATTCTGAGAGAGCAGGAAACTCGGGGAGGATGGGGAGAGGATGTGTTCCGTGAATCAGGAGGGAGGAGACCATCTGGGCTTGATGCTACTAGTGGCTCTTGTAAGGGTTTAGTTACTTGGATTTCAATCCGCTGTTCTCATCCTTGCTAAGTCGTTTTAGAAGTGGAAAGTAGAAGCAGGGTTCCTACCTCCAAGGTTATGTGAGTGTGAGGTTATCTTTCTTTCTCTAGGGAAAGAAAGAGTCCCATCTTCTTTTTGGGGGCCACTCATTCAAGGTGCTTCCTGCAGGATGGGGGTGGGGGACACTCTTTTCCTCTGAATCACTTACGGACAGTTATCCCAAATCATGTGCACACTGGCTGGTAACACTGTCTCAGTGGTTGGCAGTGTTGGTGGGAAAGAAAATTCTGTCAAAATGATGCAATATTTTTAGTAGGATTTTTTGGTTTGGTTGTTTTGTTTTTACCAACTGAGTAAATATAAATGCAAAAGCAAGCAGCCTCTGGTATATTGAGATTCTGACCTTGCTTTAGGGTTTTCTACAATTTGTAGGACTTCCTTAGGCACCGGCTGAGAAGATTAACCCCAGATTCTCTAGCCCCACAGTCCTTGCTGGGAATTTCTTTTTGAGTCACCTGGAAACACTGACTGGGGCGTTTCCAACCCACAGTGGCTGTCGGCCACCACACAGGCAGGTTGGAAGCAGACAGTCTCTGCCAGATTGTAATCAAAGGGACTCCTTTTTGGAAGGAGGCAAGAGACATAAATGAGCAAGTAGCCATAATAAATCCACACGAAGAAAATTGTATTTGGAGCTAGTTGATTACAGAATGAGAAGTATTTTATACATTAGTGCAAAACAGATTATCAGTGCCCTGCGGTTTTCTTATTACATCATCTTTGTCCAGGTTAGGCAGATGGAACAAGATTTAGAAAAGAGAATGCAATAGTCAGAATACTTGAATAATGTTCTCTTTTGCTCTTCTCAGCACAAAAGAAAGCTTTTTCTCCTTAGAGAATGAGCATTCAGTAGAATGGTTTATGAGAGCTTATACCATAACACTTAATCCTATTAAAAGAATTATGGTTATTTCTTATATTAAAATAGGTTCCAAAAAGTCTATTTATTTCTGAGTTTTTTGTCCGTTATTTGATTATTTTAAGCATATTTTTCTTTCCGTGTGTCCCTGTCCCATCCAGCTCATCAAAATGATATTCTTCCCTAACCCTTAGACAGAATTCTGCTTCCTGAGGGCAGGAATTCAGTCCCATTGGTTGTCATACTCCAGAAACATGTTTGGAGACCCTGTTGAAGTACAGAGGACCATGTCCAGAGGCTGTGTGGAGAGCAGTAGACAAGCGTAAAGATGTGGGCTGGAGTCCTGCATCTCCTGGGAGCTCCACCCATTGACCAACCATGGACAGTCGCTTCAGTCTCTGAGCCACAGTGTCTTTACCTGTAAAACTGAGAGAATGTTGCTCTGCATCTCCTAGGGTTGTTGAGAATGAAGCAAAACAAACCCCTTGGCATGCTGGTGGACTCATGTGGCACTTGCCGTGTACCAGGCACTGGGCAAAGCCCTGCAAATGACGCATTTAATGCTCACAGCCTTACCCATTGTGTACTCATACTTGAGTATCGCTGCCATGAAGATGTTTTTGCGCTGATTGTTCCATGCGACTGCTCTGCATATGGGTGCTGTTGCCAGAGTTACACTGGCCTGTGTCACAAGCTAAGACTCAGTGGCCCTGCTTTCCTTCCACTGCAATTTGACGTTCCTGGCGTGTTGGCAGCCGGCCCCACTGTGTCACGGGTTTTCCCTGCGGGACGCTGTTCACAGGCAGGGTTCTCAGCCCCCCTTCTCTCTTCCCTGATCACAGAAACGAGCAGTTCTACATCGGGTAGTAGCCTTGTCATGTGAGAATGTATTTCCTCTTCGCTCTTTCTGTCCTCCCTTCCCACCTGCAGCATTGCCCCAGTCATTTACAGAGGGCTCTTCTGTCTTAGACTGCTTCATTCTGTTTGTGGGTGCCTTCACCCCCACTCCAGGAAGACTTTTGTAATGGCTGTCTTATGTAGAAATACTTCTAGGGCCATATCTAAAATAAGAAATAGGAAAGCCAAAGGTTTTGATGCAATAGGAAACAAAGAATTAGGGATACTCACTTTTTAACTTTAACAATCAATAAAAGATTATTCCTAACTTCATGATCTTTGGTATAATTTTAGAGTATTTTCTATTTTTATTGCATGTATATGATGCCAGGTGATTGAGGTCAAATATGCAAGGACAACTCTTAAGAGTTCATAATGCAATCAATTTGCATTCAATATTCCTCCCTCCTGTCTATAGGTTGAACAGTCTAAAACAATCTTGAAAACATTGTTAAAATGGCAAAGATTACTCAAAACACAAACATAATATTGAATAAATATGGAAACAGCTATAATACATAGAGAAATTTTTAAAAAAAAGTGGGGGGAGAACCCCTGTGAGGTCTGGAACTGTCGTATTAATTTCTGAAAACTCGGTATAAATAAGCTCTGATGTTGGGTCTGACTTTCCCCTCCCCCAGGCTCCTCAGTGGTTGGAAAGTGATTCTTGTCAGAAATGTGAGCAGCCCTTTTTCTGGAATATTAAGCAGATGTGGGACACGAAGACACTGGGGTTGAGACAGGTGAGTAGCTGGCATCCAGCTGTCAACTGTGTTAGTCATGTGTTTTGTTATTTATATGATCGGTCTAACATTTTATTTGGAATCACACTTTTCCTGATGAGTACTGTTAATTCCTACATTTGTGATGTCACCATCATTGTGTGACAAATATGAGTATATCTTTCCTGGGGTAATAGTGAGACTTAACTTTCCCAAAGTATACTATCGCTCATCCTGCACTGGAAAATCAGGGATATCCAGAAAACCCTCAGAGCCTATTTGTAAATGGATGAAAGAGCTCTGAGTTTAGGGCCATTGCTTGTTAAACTCATTGTTTGTACCAGCCCAGCACAAAGTCAGAATGAACTCGACCTCTAAGCCTTAAACTTCCATGAACAGATAAAAAGTAACAGATCAGCCTTCACTGGAATACTCTGACAGTAAGAATTTTAGATTGTTCCATGTGAGTGTACTTGGAGCAATTCTGTTTAGCATGTTTCAAGTATGTACTGTTTTTTAATTTTGTAAATTAATTGAAGAAACATGTTCCAGATAGCCTGTAGAGTTTAAGGAAGCTCTCACCACTAGGTATTCATGTAATACTAAAGTTCTACAAAAAGCATAGTTTTACAGCAGCCTTGAAGGTAGCCACTCACTCAGATTGAATGTGAATTTGTGCAGGCAAGTGAAAAAGGAATGCCAATTTTAAATGCTTTTCTTATGGGTTGTACCCTCTCTGAGGAATTGGTGGAAAGTTTGTGTGTGTCAATAAACTTATACTTGTGAAGCTACTCTACAGCATGGTCAGATATAAGACTTCCAGTGTAGGAATTATTTTATCACTCATAACATTCTAATGCTCAGAAATTGCAGCAATATTCTGTCTTTAGCCTCGTTCTCACAACATATGGCTGGTAGTAACTGGTGGGTGAAGTAGTCCCTACTTCAAAGGAAACATGGAGAATTAATTTTAATCTTATGAGTTAACAGCTAATAGAAGAGCATGGGAAGGTATGGGTTACAAAATTTTAGTGGTTTAAAAAAAATATATATATATATATAAAATAGTGATAATAGCTGGACTATTTTGGAATGTTCTTGAAGCTCATTTGCAGAATCATAATTTGAAAGAGTAAAAGAAATAGCAAAACATGATAATGGATATTTGTTTCTTAATGAGGGCAAATTACATTTAAAACTTTACTTCCAAACTTTTTTTTGTTAATAAGAATCAGTTTTTCCTTCCCAAAGTCTAGCCATTTGGGTTCCTAAATGAGCTTGAACTTGAAACAACTTTTAACGTTGTTTGTTGTCATCTAGGCTGAAAGTATAAATGAATAAAAGTCAGTTTTGACCAATAACAAAGCAAGGATATTTGGAAATCCTTGAAAGTGTTGAAACCATTTGCCTTTGGCATGTTAATTGATAGATTGAATTAAGGCTGATTATAATTCAAGAACTGGAGAAGGGAATGGCAACCTACTCCAGTATCTTGCCTGGAGAATCCTATGGACAGAAGAGCCTGGCGGCCTACAGTCCATGGGGTCACAAAGAGTTAGACACGACTGAAGTGACTTCACAGTATCATTCAGGGCATATCATCCCCAATCCCATTCCCCTACTCTGAAGGGAAACCACGTACCTTAAAGCAAGAGATTAACGCCCCCTTTCCCTCCTTCCTTCTGGAAGCATCACTGCCGGAAGTGCGGGCAGGCTGTCTGTGGCAAGTGCAGCAGCAAGCGCTCCAGCTACCCCGTCATGGGCTTCGAGTTCCAGGTCCGAGTCTGCGATTCCTGCTACGACTCCATCAAGGACGAGGAGTGAGTGCCTGTCTCTGTCTACTGTGTGTTCATCTGCAGCGGGAGAGCCCGGGAAATGACACGGGTACACAGTCCGCCCGTACACAATGGTTAGGGTCCTGTCCTCCATGCAGTGGAAAGTCTGGGTACAACTGAAAGTTGGGTGTAGCTGGGTATACCTTAGACCCTCTGGGTCTGACTGGGTGTAAAAATCTGGGCATAACTTAGACCCTCCTATCCACGGGTCTGCAGATCATTTAGCACTGTTATATTTACTAGAAAAAAAGTCCGGATATAAGTGGATCGGTGCAGTTTGAATCTGTGTTGTCCAGGGATCAACTGTATTGATCTTTTATCTCGTAAACAGTTTCTAAGGAGAGGATTCTGCCCTGGATTTGTGACTTAGGACAAGTTTCTCCCAAACACTTTGAGGAATGATGCTGGTCAGACTTCTCAGGCCGTGAGTGGCCGTGTCTGAGCCCCCGAGCCCCTCAGAGTGTGGTGAGGGTCAAGGCTGTGTGCACACTGCTGGGTGGCTGAGCGGGCACTCTCAGAGGCATCCCAGCTTCGACCTGTACTCATACTCATGAGCGTTTTATTAGTGGGAAAACCCTGGAGACCCACCTTCTCTCCCGCATGAAGTCTGACCTAGCGATCTGTGCTTAAATAACTGTGTACAAGACACATCTGTCCCCCATTCAGTCCTGAATCAGACAGATCCATGAAGGCAGGACCAGCATTTTCTCTTGCTCCTTTTTTTAAAAAATGTATTTTATTGAAATGCAGTTGAGTTATTTTGGTGTGTTAATTTCAGCTATGTGTGCTAAGTTGCTAAGTTGTGTCTACCTCTTCGTGACCCCATGGACCATAGCCCTTCAGTCTCCTCTGTCCATGGGATATTCTAGTCTAGAATACTGGAGTGGGGTGCCATTTCCTTCTCCACTTCTGCTCCTTTTTGAATCATCTTGGAAAGCAGTAGCCAGGCACACCTTGGTGGATGCCGAAGTAGGAAGGCTGGTGTGGTCAGCGAGCTGGTGATGGGGCCAGGGCGCGGGCTTCAGAGCAGAGTGAGGTCAGCACCCGGGGGTGGCACTGCCTCTCCGACCTGGATTCGCGGGGAGCCTGCAGCCTGTGATCTCGTGCAGAGTAGTTCCTCTTCTCTGTTAAAGGTTCTCGTTCTGATGTCTAGGAATGTACCAGCCTGTCCACTAAAAAAAAATCAAATATTTTGGGAATTTTAGAAAATCCTTTATAAAACTGCTTGTGGGCATCCCCTGGGGGTTCAGTGGTTAGACCTCTGCTCTCACCACTGAGGGTGCAAGTTCAGTCCCTGGTTGAATAACTGAGATCCCTGAAGTCGTACGGCACAACCAAAATCAAACAGAAAGACCAAAAAAACCCCGAAAACCAGTCCTGCAACTTAGGCTTTGTGTCATCCTTTAATTATAGTTGGTTTTCAGAAGCGTAGCCACATTTCGGGGAGCAAATTTTGACACCGTCACTGTAAATATTTCCTTTATGTTGCTAAGAGGACTCATCCTCAGCTCCAGGAACCGTTGGATGAGTCTAAATGGCCTCTCTTCTCTCTCTGCCAGTCGGACATCTCTAGCAACCTTCCACGAAGGAAAACATAACATCTCCCACATGTCCATGGACGTTGCTAGGGGCCTGATGGTAACCTGTGGGACCGACCGCGTGGTGAAGGTAAGCTGCCTAATTGTCCCAATTAGCACGTCCGTGCAGACTGCTCCACCGACACGCTGTGAGTGTGTAAGGCAGTTCTGATGGACAAGCTCGCCTTCCCTTGGATGAACTCCCCATGGCCAAGTGAAAGCCCTGGCTAACAAATTGCATGTTTGTGAGTTTCCGTGCCCTTCCCGGCAGCTCAGTCCAGTGGGGTCTCCCTCCGCTGTCTCAGTCTCTCCAAGTAAGCTGGTGAGAGCCTGCCACCCCTCTGTCACTATCTGCCCTGAGCCGGCCCCAGGGTCTTCTCTCGCACTGCCTGGCCTTAGCTGACCTCTTTCTCTGGTCGCTCCTTCCTTGGCTAGTGGTCCTTTATCCTGGATGGAATACTCCCCATTTATAAGAAATAACCGTACTTCCCTGTGTTAAATCCCCGAGTGAGTAACACAGAAGCTGAGTGTGAGCGCTTTATCCTCAGGAGTTTCAAAACTGCTGTGCATGCGTATGTGCTCAGTCGCTCAGCTGTCTCGAGTGGTTTGCGACCCCGTGGACTGTAGCCCGCCAGGCTCCTCTGTCTGTGGAATTATCCCAGCAGGAATACTGGAGTGGGGTGCCATTTCCCCTCCAAGGGATCTTCCCAAGCCAGGAATTGAGCCCATGTCTCCTGTGGCTCCTGCTTTGACAGGTCGATTCTTTTACCACTGAGCCACCTGAGAAGCCCTGTAAAACTGTCATAATTTGTTTCATAATTTAAAAAGTGGGCTTTTTCCCAGTGGGCTTTTTATTCAAAATAAAAGTAAATTGTAGTGAAACATTATTATGATGTAATTTGCAGGTGTTGACAGAAATACTGCTTATAAGCATTTTTTTATGTTTTAGCCAACCACAATGTCTTGTCACTGTGTAAAACTCCAGAAGGTTTCATGGGGAAAGAAGAGGATGAGTTGTGTGTCTTGACCGCTGGCCAGTGTCCCAGCTGTCTGTCCTCCCAGGGACCACATGGCCGGCGCTGCCTCTCCAGGTCCTCCCCCTCCTTCTCTTGCAGATTTGGGACATGACGCCTGTGGTGGGCTGCAGTCTGGCCACCGGCTTCTCTCCACACTGATGCGGGGCCGGCGGGGTCTGAGTCTTCGCGGCGGCCGCCTTCCCCCACACACGACGCTTCCCTCTAGCTCCACAGTCCCTGTCACGTGGATGGACAGCCAGCCACTAAAAAAAGAAATCAGCATTTTTATAAAGAACAAAACGTGAACGTGTGTTTTTGGGCGTTTGTGGAACTATCCGTGGGGACCGACGTAGCGGGTCCCCGAGGAGTGGAGTTACTCGAGCGAGATGTCCTGCGAGCGGTGAGCTGATGTGTGCCGAGATGGTAATTTAGCACACGAGAGTTTCAGAAGAAAAACACTGAACAAAAGAGTTAAAGCCTAGAAGTTTCTTCAAGCAATTCCAAGTGCAAACACACTCCCCTCCCCTGAGACTTGCCGGGCGCTCGGGGGCTCCTGCGCATCTCCGCGGTCAGAGCAGGGACTCCAGGGAGGAGGACTTGCGTTCTCTCTCGGCGGGGGGGCGGGGGGTGCAGAGGTCTTAGGAACCCAGAGACCCTCCTCGTCCACTGGCGTCTGTGAATATTCCCCACCCCTGGCCACTGACAGACCTCTTCAAGGTACCTGTCCTCTCCAGGTGGTGCAGTATCTACACTTAATGTGTGGTCCGCTTCAGTTGTTTCCCGTCCCAGCCAGCGTGCCATGGGCGGACCCTTACGGTTGTCACCACGTGAGTGGTATGGCGTCTATACCGACCAAGGGAATCCGTACCCTTCCCTGTCCCCCAGATGTGCTCTGAGGACAAGACGTCTCTATGGTGCTGTTAACACGGGACTTGCACAAGCCGCCTGACTTTTTCCTCATTGCATCTAGGGATGAGTAATGGCAAACCCAGCTACCAGCGTGACTGGGATGGGAAACGAGCAGCCCGCTCCGTGGAACAGCCCAGTCCTCCTGAAAGACACAGTCTATTTGCAGCCCAAGATGAGCCCCTGTAAATACCGTGACACTTCAGTAGACACCTCAGAAGAGAACTCCAAAGCTTTTTAAACTAGGTTGACTTTTAGTTACAACTTATTTCATAGGAAGAAATCGGTAACCCAGAGCAGTGACTATTAGCACGGTCCTGCACAGGTATTCCCAACTTGTAAGTTACTCCCAGAACAGTTAGCAAAATCTCTTGCTATCACGTGGCATTTTAATTTAAAAGTTTTCAGCCACTTAGTACCAGGATTGGGGAATAGGTAGGAAATGGGGAGCCTGTCTTTTAATATTCAAATATTTATTTGTTTTTAATGGCAGATCAGGCTTCCCTGGTAGCTCAGATGGTAAAGCATCTGCCTACCTACAATGCGGGAGACCCAGGTTCGATCCCTGGGTCGGGAAGATCCCCTGGAGAAGGAAATGGCAACCCACTCCAGTATTCTTGCCTGGAAAATCCCATGGACTGAGGACCCCCTGGTCCATGGGGTCGCAAAGAGTCAGACACGACTGAGCGACTTCACTTCAGTGGCAGATCATGTGTCTTGTTACTTTAGGATTATTTTAAGGATAGATTTTAAAATAGATAGCCGCAGTATTTTTGTTAGTCTTACTAATGGATATAGAAAAATACTACTGCATTGCTTTTAGGGGATCAAACCAAGATAGCATCATTCTGTGTGACGTAACTAAGGGACTAAACAGTTTTAAATAACAGTTGTTAATGAAAATGTGTTTTTAATAACAGTTTAAGACAGGCAGTTAAGATGTCTTAATGGCCAGTGGCACAAATTAGGAAAGGAGGTCAGGTCATCATGTTCTAGAATGATTTCCAGTAGACGTTGACTTGCCTTCAGAAATAAGGGTTTTGTTGCTCCTTGTAATTTTTGTGTTAAATCACCTGAAAAAGATGTTTTCTTTCAAAACTTGCCTTAGGCCCTTTGCAGAATGTGTGTTGCTGACATAATCCAGGAGGAAAATCGAGTGGTGATAACTTGAACAGTAGTGTTGAATGTCAGCTTAGTTTAGTTAATGGTTCAGCTCATACATACACAGGTGCTATGCTGGGGATTCTCTGAAGTCCTGAAAGAAAAAGAGAATATGAACTACTCCTTGCCATGCTGAAGAATGCTCCACGACAGTTTTGCTTTCCTTCAGCCTCTGTAAAATGTGACTTTATGATGTCTGTGGTGGCCTGAGCAGTTCCGTAGCTGTCAAGGATATACCATAGCTTTTTGACTTTTTTTAATTTTAAAAGATTCCTAATGAAAAACCTACTGTTTCACAGAGAGCATAAGGCTGATCCAGCGCCTCCTTAGGGGTGAAGCTAACATAAGTCAAGAGGGAGAGGTCTGTGTCAGAAAGAATTGGAGCCAGGTACCTGGAAAAGGAAAGGAGAAAGTTTCAATATTATTTTCTTTCCCCCAGAGCTTACTGCCATTTTTCGTTTTAAACATACATATGGTAGGCTTGCCTTGTCTCTGTCACACGCAAGGTAGTAAATGGGGTAATATTTTTTATAGAGGTGGGTAAAAATTTTAGTGATTGGCACAGAGAGTATAGTTAGACTTCTGGTTATTGCCTTATTTTGACTGCATTACTCTTAAACGTGTCATTTACATTATATAGTTCTTCAAATAATGGTTTACCAGTTTTTCCATTCCTGAATACTCCTGCAGAGTCCCTCTTGGGGATCACAAAGAACAGAATGTTAAGAGAAGATCCTTTTGTTTAGATCTAGTATGTGTGGGGTCACAGAGTGGGACACGACCTAGTGACTGAACAACAACAAAAGGTTCGTGATCAAGAGTTGCCAATTCTTCATTCTAAACGTGTTTTAAAATTGCTCTTTATTAGTGGAAGTGATAGGAATATACTCTTATAGCATTAGATGGAAGCAGACCATTCATTACACTGTAAATCTGTTTACTGTGTCTTAGTTCTGCCCTGCTGCCTAGAGGCCATAAACGAAACATACTACTTTATACTTTAGAAGGTGGTGTCACTTTGTTCTCCCCCTACAGCATTCAGTTCGTTAGTACCTACAGATTTAAACTGTTGAAACTGGCCTGAGTATGGAATAAAAGCACAGTGGCTCAGATTCAAGGAGTTATTTTCTAAAATCAGTTTTCATTAATTAATTCCTACTTCATTCCTGGGTCTGGTATCCCTTAAAATGTAAGAAACCCGTTACTATTAATGATAAACCATCTGCTCATCATAAATGTGAAGTTTAACAAATAAGTAATACATGCTGTATTTGTGTGTCTATTGCTTAATTGTTAATTGTGAGCAGATCATTGAACGCCTACTCTATTTTCTGCAGTTTACTACCCAATATCTTTGAGTAAGTTGATGTTTAATTGTGCAACAAATTTATGTTAGAACACAATTTAAAGTGTTTTTCTCTCTAGACTTTTTTGACTAGGGAGGCAAAGGGCAATGTTGATTAGTACATTTTGTCTTGTACTACTAGCTACGTTTCTATAAAATAGGGTGCCCTGCGTGTCCCAGAGAGCTAGAAACCTTTGCTCTTTGCTCCTGTTTGTGGGTTCTGTTTTTGTGGTTTTTTTGAGAACATGCATACAATAAAATGTTCCTTGCTTGTTACCCTGTTGTTTAATTTAGCTTTTGTTCTGTTTGACCTGGACACAGCGCAGCAGGAGCAACCTCCATGAGTTCAGTGCTGCCTGTGTGCTGGCTGTCCTGCCAACTTCATACTCTTCAGTCCTGGTGACACTTCTGCAAGGCACTGTTTTCTCCATTTTACAAATGAGAACACCAAGTGGATCTTATCTGTCCGTCTGACTCAAAAGCACGTGCCTTCTTTATAAGGCACACGCCTGCCTTAATGTGCCAGCATGTAATGGGGGTTTGGTATAAAGGAAGTAGGTATGATCTGTCTTGAAGTTTATGAGGCCCTGGAGTGAGATTGCTCAGGATACCCAGGCCCCCTGAGAGCCCTGAGCCTTGTGGAGACAGCATGAGCCCCGCCCTGGGTCCCCTCGCAAACAGCTCAGTTTTTTGCAAGAAACACAGGATGATTCAGATCCGGGAGAACAGAGTTGTCGGCTTAGCTGATTAGGGGGTTGATTTAGAGATCAGAACAGCAGTTTATTGAGGGTTTGTTTTTTTTTTTAAAGAACCAAAGCTTTATTTTCTCTCATCATCAGAATGTTTATTGGCAGTTCCCTGGTGGTCCGGTGGATCAGACTCAGAGCTGTCCCTGTCAGGGGCCCTGGTTCCCTCCCTGGTCCGGGAGCTACAATCCCACAAAGTGTGCGGCGTGGCCAAAGAAAAAAATATAATAATATGTTTATTACAATTTAATAAAAGGAAAATAAAAAGATAATAGCAAAAAAGTATTTAAAATATTTATTTTTAAATCCTTTAATGCAACCACCTAGAGAAACCACTGTTAAATTTATGCTATATATCTTCCCAGCATTTTTGCTTTTTTGTTTAAATGCATGTATACATGCAGGACACACACTTATAGACCTGTTGTTAAGGGGTGCCTGCCTTCTTGCCCCATCTGATGTAGTGTGGAAAGTTTGCCCCATGCCCAGAAGTGGTGCCCCCTGTTAGCCTCATCAGCGGCTGCAGAGTCGAAGTGGGTGCTAGCTCTGTGCCCGTGCACTGGGACGGTCAGCCTCCAGCTCTGTGAAGGTGGGTAAGGCCACGTGACTTGCTTCAGCCCATGACGTGCAGTCAGGAGCATTTAATTGTGGGTAACAGGCTTAACCACCAGTTTCTTTGGGATGCCAAGCCATCCCATGAAACCCAACGTGCCCTGGATCTGCAGTGGGTGTTACTCAGTCTTGTGTTGCTTTAGTCTGCTGAGGTAAGGGTTTTCAGGTCAGTTGCTCCGTCATGTCTGACTCTGCAACCTCATAAACTGCAGCACGCCAGGCTTCCCTGTGCATCACCAGCTCCCAGAGCTTGCTCAAACTCAAGTCATCGAGTCAGTGATACCATCCAACCATCTCATCCTCTGTCGTCCCCTTCTTCCACCTTCTGTCTTTCCCAGCATCAGGGTCTTTCCCAGTGAGTCAGTTCTTCCCATCAGGAGACCAAAGTA